ATGTTTTTCTGATCTTATCATCGTTTTTTCTTTTTTGTATAGTTACACGGTTTCAGCCGTCATTTGCTGGAGAATTTCCTTTTAATTAAATAGATATCAAAAGGACCGCAAGGATCTTCAAATATTTTATATTCTACAACTTTGATGAGCTGAATGTTGAAGCTGTTATTGTTGGCAGTACTTCACTTCCCATTCAGAAAGCAGCATAACTTGCTGATAATGTGCAAGAGGAGTTTCCTGTTTAGTGGCGCTGATTGCAGGTGCTAGAACATCAGCTGAGGCGAACAGATTCGAGTGCAATTATTTTCGTATTTTGCTTAGGGAGTACCTCCTTTGCTGGACTTTTTTTTTGTAATCAGTTCCTATTTTCTTGTAAGAACTGGAGTTTTTGAGATCCGTCTTCAAATATACTTTGCATTTTTGAAGAGCTGTTGCTTCACTGCTGCATTTCTCCCGCTACCAATAAGCTAGCAGCCCTCCCTCATCCACGTAATTCCATACTGCCTGAATACATAGGCTGCCTTCTGGAGCTTTTCCATCTACGTGTTTGGATGCACTTATTGAAAGATAGGAATTGTTTAACTAGTTTTAAAAAGAAGCATCCGTCCCCTTTTGGCTATACTGGTGTCGCAAATCAGAAAATTTTATATGGTCAAGCCGGGAGAGAAGGAGAAAATCGAACTATTTGATTTTCAGGAAGTGACGCTTGGCCCAGGACCGCATCTCGTCTATCGAACTATCGGCGGCATGCTCGATATCACATTTTTCCCCGGTCCAACGCCAGAGGATGTCATCCGACAGTATCTCAGTTACATTGGAAAGCCCTATCTTCCAGCCTATTTTGCACTTGGCTTTCAGGTACTACGGCAGATATCACAAATTTGAGAAGAAAAGTGTAGTAAATTTTTAATTGGTCGTACATTGGCTAAGATCCAAATAGCTGTGTCTTAAGTTGACCGATGGTCAAAACGCCAACGGTCCTTAGCGAAAATATGGCAATACCTTCTCAGAGATATTTTTTATGATATTTTCTCGAATGAGCAGAACAGCTTTATACCTCAAAAGAAAGATCAGCTGTGGAATAATAAGAACAGCAAGATCGCTAGAACAGTCGGGTGTGAGTAAAAATACCATGTTAGTGATATTACTGGCACACTCCCATCCGTCGAGCTCAGCCGTGCCAGGTTTTTCGTCCGCATTATCACAAGAAATTCAAAATGCAGGTAACGCGTGCTCAGATGTCCACGGTGCCGAGCCGGAGAGAATGTCTGCTCTCAGAGGCCCGTTACTTGGATAAGTCGCTCCACCCCCACCGCTGGTGCGAAGCGCTCCCCCCGACCGATGTTCGTGTGATTGGCAAGTTACTGTACAAGTAACAACAGCACTATGCATGTACAGTTGAGTGCTTCTTACGTGTAACTTGAAGTTTTTCTGCCCCTCCTCCTAGCAGTACCTCTGGTCCCTCCCGGTTGCACTCTTGTTCAACCTTTTTCCAAATCTCCTTTTTAATCTCAATCTACCACTAAATTTTTATCCAAATCTCTACTAGCTCAAATATTACTTGATTGGTGGGAATGCATAATCTTAGACTGTTTACTGCTGCAACTGTAAAGTAAGAACATTTCATTTCGTTTTTTATTAATTCGAAAGCTCATACACCATAAAAATAAATCACGAATGTCGAAGGTTCAGCAGCAGATTAACTTGGTACTGCCACATGAGAAATTAGAACCATCTATATCTTGTTTCTAAAGCAATTCACTGAGAAAGAAAGCATCGACAGCGTTTATTAGCAACTGATTTG